TATTTTCCACATGCTTGGCACCTATTAGAAAATTTCATATCAAGCACAGTTTTCTTTTTCCTTTTAACCCAAACTTTCACTAGTTCTGATTGGGATATCTAATTGCCACTATCACCACTTTAAAAGCAAAGCAATATGAATAAGTTATTAAGAAAATATACAATTTTTTTGGAAAATTTTCATCTTTGTTTCCCTCCTAGAGACTTGTTTTGTGAAAGTCTTTTTTCTTTCACATTTTGGTTAAGATAAGAAAGGAGTGCTTTATATTTTTCCCATGTTTGGCACCTATTAGAAACTTTCCTATCGAGCACAGTTTTTGTTTTTGCTTTTGACCAAAACTTGTAATAGTAAGAAAAGCAATATAAGTAAGCTATTAAGAAAATAGACAGCTTTTTGGAAAGTTCTCATTTGTGTTTCCTTCCAAATGACCCATTGTTATTTGCACGAAACCCACTTTCTTCTTGACCCATTTACTCTCCTATGATCACATGTTATTTATAAACAGTTGCTTCTGCTCTCACCAAAGCAACGTGAGACTTTATTTGACACACCTACATACCACAATTTATAACAAAATATTTTGCAGTAGCAATATAATCATTTTGAGTATGGTTGTTGTATTTCAGATTTTGTAGGTGTAATAGGGGTGTTAGGTTGGATCTTGCAAGTTGACATATTGTAAAAAAGTGCATGGTGAATTGTCAGAACTCAAACTTGACAAACAACAAGGTATAATCTTATTAGGTGGGGTGTGTTAGATAAATCAAATAATGTCATTGTGTTCTATTAAAAACAAAATCCTTTAATAGATTGTTAACCAAAAAGTCTCATTCAAGCTCTAAAGTATTTTATATTTCAAAACTCAAGTTACCTATTTGATCTAAGTTTGTTTGTTTTTTTTTTTATTTTGTTTTATTTTGAGTTTCTCTATTGGAGAAGAACTTTAATATTTCCTCTTATACACCCATTGGAATTAATTAAGCCATGAGTTTAACATCTCCATTTTCTTCGAGGATAATATATGGCCACTGGATCTAGAAGCTCTCAAATTCCTTTTTAATAAATGTAAATTAGCATAAGCAATTAGATTCAACTGACAACACCGTACCTATATGTAAAGAGAAAGCGCATGATGTCATCACAGCTAGGAACAACTTGTATTGAGATTAGATGGGCATATTGCTTATTATAGCTTTGATGAAATGAGCAATAAATAAGTACTCCTCCGGTCCTTATTATAAGACCCAATTTGACTTTTTATTTGGTCCTAATTATAAGACCCAATCCATTTTGTCTCTTATATTTATGCATTTTTTTTCAAGATAATCCTTCTAATAATGATAGTTTTAGCCAATATACTTAATTAACAAGGATATTTTAGGAATGACAACACTTATTTATTATAAATAACCAACTTAACTTACTTCCTTAATCTCCTCAAATAAGTCAATTGGGTCTTATAATTAGGACCGGAGGAGTACTAATTAATCTTTTCTAACCAGTTAATTAGTATTTTGATGTTTGGATGAGTTTGCTTGAAATGTTTGATGGGACCTTGGTTTTGTTTTAGATCCTTCTTTTTCTCTGAACAATGAGGAAAATAAGAGAAAAACATTTCATTCACTAAAATCCTTACCCTCTTAGTTTTTCTCAGACAAATTGTAATAATTTGTAGTTTTTTATTCACTATAACTTCTTGGTTACTATTTTTTTCCTCAGCTCCTTTGGATTTTTTTTAATAACTACTTTAGAGTGCACTTACATACAAAATGTTTTGTTAGTTCACCATGATATATCTATCCTATGAAGATGTCTACCTCATGGGTATAAATTTTGTAGATTTTATAGAGAGATTTTTAGATTATTTGCTTCACATTTAATTATTTTTCACTCTGTTTATGAAATATATGTTATTATATATGCTTACTTATGTATTTAAATTTTATTAGTATGGCTCCAATGAAGGCGCTTGTCACAAATATGCTACTACTACTAATAAGAATACTGCTGATAGGAATAACACTAATCAGAGTTTGATTTAGAGTTCCAAGATGGATGATGGCCTAATTGATGCATTTATGCATGAGCTATATCTTGATAAAAATGTGAATGGAACATTTACAACTAAAACTTATGATAACATAACACAATATTTAAGTGCTTTGTTTGGGTTTAAAGTTGACAAGGAAAAGGTCAAAAATTGTTGGAAGACTTTAAAAAAGGATTTTTCATAAATTTATGATTTTTTTACAAGGGTATGAATGGTTTTTCATGGAACTCAACCACTAATCGATAGGAGGCTAAAGACCAAGTATTGGACCAGTTGATTGAGGTTAGATGAGTAAAGTTTTTTTGCTTTCAATTATGCAATATTTGTAAGTACTTTTTCACCTTATATATTTATTATATATATTTTTAGGTTAAACGAAAAGCAGCCTTTTAGAGGAATATCTTTTACTTAACTACGAGAATATGTTGGTTCTTTATGGAGTTGATAGAAACAATAGAGATGAGGCTGATACTCCTTCAGAAATGAAGAAATAAAGGCATGTAAATTTTCAAGAATTTGTTGAGATTGAGGTTGATCAGCATACCTCTCATAATAGGTGTCTTTGGAATTTTTGAATTTAAATTTTAGTGTCATATATTTTATTTTTGAGCATTAATTCATGTGCCCCAAAAATATTCAATAAAATTATATGAAGTTAAAAAAAACTAAAATGAAATAAGGGCAAAGTTGTCCAGATAAAAATATTTTCCCTCCCCTCTCTTCCTGAACCAAACAAGGTAACATGAAAGTCCATCACCTTTCCTCTCTTCTTATCAATCCAAACAAGGTAATGCTAAAATCCCTCTCATCCCTTCTCCTCTCCCCTCTCCTCTTCTCCTCTCCTCCTCCTCTCCCTTCTCCTAATTTGAGCCAAACACCCCCTCACCCTTTAAATCTCCCAATATTTGAAGGGAAGTATTAGAAGGAGAGGGGAAATTTTAGAGGGAGCTTGCATTACTGGCCTTGAAAAAGAGTCATTGTAGAGGGACAAGCTTCCTTAATAGACAAGTGGAGCTTGCATGAAAGAGTCAGATACTTCATCTATTTTTTTCCTTGGCATAGCTGGGCCATCCTAGGCTTGAACTGGAGACCTCGTCCATGAAGTAAACCATCACACCTACAATCCAACCAATTAGGATAGAATCAATATATTCCTTTTCGAAAGTGACTCATCCTTTCCAAACACAACATACAACTCTTTGTTGTACTGTGCTCTCTAAGTGTGTTTCTTATTCCCCTATTCTTCCTTACTATTAGGGGCGTTCAAAATAGGCACGTCCCTCTTTGGCCATAGTAGGATGGAGCAGACTTGTCCCAAAATTTTTCGAGATGGGACAAAAAATAGGATCGAGACGGGACAAGACACCGAACGGGGTCGTCTCATCCCGGTAGTAATTTTTTTATTTTTTATCTTATTATAATTATTAAATGTTAAAAATACAAAATGTTTAAGGCATATGTGATACAAAATTTTTGTATTTCTAGCTTTTAGTATATATGTAATTGGATGGTTATTATTTATTTAGAGCTTTTATAATTGCTCATGACTTTTAGAATAGTGAAAATGAATTTTGGAATTATTATGTTACCAACTATTATTTATTTGGGCTTTTGTTTAAAATGGTTAGGCCCAAAAAAGTAAAAACAAAAAAGAAAGATGCTTTCAAAAAGGCCAAGCCCAAAGAACTAAAAATAGAAAGGAATTAAAAAAATAAAAATCCATTACAATAGCCCAACTATAAGGAAAAAACATTTTATCCAAAAAAAAGAAGAAGCAAAACAGGACATCCTAGTGTCATCTTGTCCAGAACGGGACCAGGATAGCACTGGGATAAGACAGGACAGATTTCTTGTCCCTTCTTTGTTCATCAGGACAAGACTAGTACAGGTCTATCCCGGTCCTGTCTCGTCTCATGAATAGCCCTACTTACTATGACAAGTTTTTGTGAAATAATTTCCATGAGAAGAAAAAAGGTGTTAAGAGACTCTCTAAGCCCAGCCCTAGATACTCTAAAATCTTTTTTCAAACATGCTCCCACTTCGAGTCAAAAGATAGATAAATAGACACATCTCAAGAAACAAATTATTTATCAGCTAAGCATTCTATTCTTATTATGGTTAGATTCAATCTTTTAATCCCTATAGAAAGGAAAAAGAATTTTTCATTCTTCCTTTTGAAAGGGGAAGATTAGAAAAATCTTATTGATTGCAATTTTTTCTAGACCCCTAGGAAAAGCATGAAAAAAAGGTTCTAATGGTATAATCTTGCTGTCATCCTAGAATGAAAAGGGCGATCTTATAATTCTTGGTTTGTGAAGATATATTGTTAGGTGTCCCGTTTTTATTTTTCCATTGAGGCCAAACCTAAACCTTTGTTTGATAGGTAACTATTTATATACTGATAAAGAATATATGAATTATTGAGAAGAGAGGAGCCGTAGTGGCCCTTTAGACTACCCTGATCCCACAAGTAAAATAGAAAGTTAGATCTACATTGGATTTTACTTGAATCGCCCCATCTATTCTCTTGGAGGAAAAGTTTAGTTTCATTCGACTAGTATCATATGGCCAAGATTTGTCTTTACTCTTATGAGTGGATTTCTCTAACTATTATGTTAAATTTGTTTCTTTATCTCCTTTTTTTTTTTTTTCCGGTTGAGTTTAAGATAGTAGTGAGTAACCTCTTTTTATGGTAGACTTTTCTAAGAAGTTTTAGTATTGGTTATGAAACCCTTTTCATATATACCACTAAGGATCAAATAGTTAAAAAACTCAGCTAAGCACTAATTATGTTAGGTCTTGTGATTTTTTCCCCCCTTGTATTAGTTCTTCTAAAGTCATTTTGTCTTTCATTACATTTCAATTGATCAGTTTTTCTGGACCAAAAAAAAAAAAAACAAAGTTTGTGTTGGCTCATTTCCGTTTTCCGAAAGCCCGTTCGAACCGTTTCTGTATACTATTTCGGTTCTTCCTCGTCCGGCCGGCGCCTCCCTCATCTTTCACTTCTCTTCTTGGACCTGCTTGTGGATCCTCCGTCGGGCGTCCTCGTCGCCGCCTGCAACTGCGTTCTTCATCATCATCTTCTTCTTCTTCCTCCGTCATTGTTTTCCGTCTTCCTCCGTCGTGTGTTCCCCATCCTTGTTGTGCACACTTGAGCTTCACCTTGTCAACGTCAATACTCGTTCCTCGCTTCCTTCCCAAAGGTAAGTCCTGCTTGGCTCTTGAACTCCCCCCTTGTTTGCTCGATTTCTGGTGGCAACTCTGCATTTAAATCCTTCTTGGGATGATTGAAATATGTCTTCGGATTTAGATCTGGTTGAAGCGACTGAAACTGAGTGGATTTCAGCTTGTATGCAATTCGGACTGTTTTGAATCTGATACTGGTGTCCTGCGCGTGTTGAACATGATAAGATTTGGTGTTTGGCTTTTTTCGCTCCTCTTTTTGTTGATCGGGGAATTTTTACTTGATGTGTTATTTGACATGTTTCATTTTTTTTTTTTTTTTGGGGTTACAAGACATGTTTCATTTTTACTACTTAACTGTAGCTGTCTTCTAGCGATTATTCTATATAAGATCTTGCTGAGAAGTAGTTTAAGTCACTAAATTAAATCATATGTCACAATGCAGTATAACTAGAAGCCTATCTGGTTACTCTTGTTCTCATTTTCTTTTCTGTATTGCTCAGAAGTATTGCCATCAGGGTCAATGAATGAATGAATAAAAGTGATGGGAAGATGGGGACGAATGAATGTGTGAAGCAAGGGGGAAAAAGAAATTATATTTTGTTGAAATTACCTTGGTTGTCTGCATTGAACAACTTTGTCTTCTGTTGCGTTTCCTTTTATATATGAGATGTAAGCTAAAGCATCTTATCAATGAGTACCCAAAAAAAAAAAAAAGGCAGCAAGAGATGAACCAAGGGGCTGGACCGGCTGGACTCGACCGCTAACTCGTTCCAGTCCACCCAACCTGTTGTTCACCTTGTTCCCCACTGTCGATTATTGACGCTATACCTATATATGCTGCCTGAAGTTGTTTGGATTTTATCTCTTCCAGTAACTCTGACTCGGGGGCAGTTTGAGAACTGCATGGAAGCACTTAAAAAAATTGCTTTCATGCAAGTCCGGACAAACTTCTCTCACATATTTACTTTGAACACCATAAAATCACTTCTAAAAGGCCAATCCAAACACCCTCTAAATAACATTATAAGCTGCCTCGTTTATGACCTACCCCACCATTAACTTTATGATGTTGACTGAATTCTAAACTCTGACTCGGGGGCAGTTTGAGAACTGCATGGAAGCACTTAAAAAAAATTGCTTTCATGCAAGTCCGGACAAAACTTCTCTCACATATTTACTTTGAACACCATAAAATCACTTCTAAAAGGCCAATCCAAACACCCTCTAAATAACATTATAAGCTGCCTCGTTTATGACCTACCCCACCATTAACTTTATGATGTTGACTGAATTCATACCTGATTGCATAATGCATGCAAGAATTGCTTGGATTTTATTTCTTCCGCATTTGCAGCGTTCATGTATTGTAACATTCTAAACTTTCCCATTAGCCATTTGCAGTCGAGATATGATTGAATCTCGTTTGTTGATGATAGTTTGCATCTAGTTGCTTGGATTTTATCTCTTCCGGTAATTCAGATTCTCTGTTATGCCTTTTGCTTTTCAGAACTAAGTCAGGCCCTTGGGTTTGACAAAAAGGCAGGTTATTTAGTCATCCTCTACTTTCCTGTCCGACTAATCAGATTTGCAGCCTAATTTTCACAATGACTGAGGTAAACTGCTTAATGTATCCAATTTTTATGATTACTTTGATTTTCTTTCTCTAATATTATCTCTTCATTTTTTTTTTAAATCAGGTTTCCCCCTTTATGGACAATTAAGCTGTCCAAAATTTGTACCTTTAAGATTATGACATCGTAAGTCTGATAATTAGAAGTTCAACAGATACAAAGTAGCCCAGGAGATATATATTTTGGTTTTTTTTCTGACCAGTGGGTGGGAAGCCTCTAAGTTTACTTTTAAACTTTCATAGATCATGCTTTACTGTCGTAACTGCTTCAGTCATTGAGATTTTATGGGCATAAACTAATTTTTAAACTAATTAGTAGACGATAATATGCAACTACATATCCCTGTTTATACAAATTCCAGGGTTAGGATTTGTTATGATAACGTACTTATGGAGATGTACCATCTTGGCTCTTTCTGACATGCTGAAGTTAGACTTGTTTATCATTGAATGCTTTTGTAGTTTTTTTCATTACTCCTTTTCTTTTTTCAGTATTGGGTCAGCCAGGGTAATAAATGGTGTGACTTCTGCAAGATCTATATATCAAATAATCCAGCTAGTATTAGGAATCATGAACTTGGTGAGCGTCATAAAGATAATGTTGCTAAGAGACTTGCTACTATGCGAAAAGAGAGCGCTGCTAAGGAGAAAGAACAGAAAGAAACAGCACTCGCCTTGGAGCAAATTGAAGCGGTAAGAGTCCAGGAGTTTTATTCCTCATTTACGCCATTGATGTTTCTTGTTTGTTGTATAAAAATAAATAAATAAGCAAATGAAAATTCTTAGTACTTGCAAGGTTTAGCAGCAATAAAATATGACAATTGCCGCTTTCGATGCATTAGCTTTGGTTTATAGCATTGTTTGTCAATTTGTCTGTCAAATGCAGTTTTCAAAATTTGCATATTTGAAGTCATAATGATAATACTATAATACAAAAAAAGTTACCGAGTCCTATTAGGTCTCGCAGATTGAACTATATGTGCTGGTTTGGTATGATGGAAGTGGAAGTCATGGTGAAAGTCTAAATTTAGGGTGTTTGATATGTTGGTAACCTCTTCGCTATGGAATCCACTTCAATCAAAAATGAAGGAAGTGGCTTTCATAGGGGATGCTGTGGAATTCTGAAAACTTCCGTGGAAGTTAAGTTGAAAGACCAATATATTCCTCCAAATAATATTTTAATAGATATTCGTCCTTGCCCATTTTCACATCCAAACTCCACCTCATTCTATAGACATAGAACTCTTGTGATTGAAGCTCCATGAGCGTGAGCTTCTGGCAGCAACAATGAAGATTGCTTCCAGTGGCAATGGTGCGGTCCTAGTCCCTGACCTCCGTTAATTTTCATTGCTGCCAGCCTCCATCAAGAAGCGGAGGAGCCCTAATAATCCAAATCCAAATTGAGGGTTCATTCTTCTAGGCGGAGAAGGATGGTGATGACGGTGAGACTGGTGGTCAGGACATAAGGATTCATTTGATGAGGCTTCTAGGATCTTCGTTTTTTATTTCTGGTTCTGGTTCAATTTATGGCTTATGGGCGTTGTTCAATCTCTGGTGCTGTTGTGAAGTCAATTTTGAAATGAAATTTATGGATGAACTGACGAGAAGAGAGGAAGAGGTTGGGTTGGGATTTTTTTTTCCTTAACTAGGGTGCATTTTGATCCTTTGATATTTTAAATAAATATAAAAATTAAAAATAATACATGACTTCAATAGGTATACCAAACATACTTTCAAGGGAAAATCGCAAAAAAGACTACTGAAATAGAAAAATTGCATACAAGGATCAGTTCATAAAAATTGTTGTTAAAACCCATACTAATATTGTCATGAGTCCCAATTTGTAATTTTTCTATTTCGATGGTCTTTTTTTTGCCATTTTCCCTGCTTTTAAACCCATTTCCATTTCCTCCTCCTCTTTTACTTTTAGTTCCACTACTATTAAAAACTCTTCCATCATGCCAAACTGGCATATAAGTTGAACTTTCAGTTGATTGCAAAATGAGACCCCACACTTTGTAAGCTGTTTTCTATCAATTTCCCCAGGATCATTGAGATATACTTCCTCCGTTCCCTATTATAAGAGATGATTAACCGAGTCACATTAATCAAAAAGTTGGTTAAAATTAGTCAGAAGCAATAAATATGCAAAAAATGCAATCTATTTTCCAAAAATGCCCTTATTTATGGAAAATGAGGGTGGGAGAGAGAATGAGTCGAAAAAGGTATGAGAGAATGTGTGAGAAAATATGATGAGAGAGATGTAATTAATTGAGGGTAAATATGAAAAAGGTACATTAAATGTCTAAACACCTTCAAATTGTCTCTTATAAAAAAGAACACGCCCTTTCAAAAAAGTATCTGTTATAAACAGGAGCAGAGGGAGTAATAGATTGCATCTAGGATAAGACGTGGGTTAGGTAATGTTCCTTGGGTGTGTGCCTTGAGTTTTCCTAGTGAAAAACGTGTCATACGGAGAAGCTTTATCAAAAAATTCAGTCATATAATTTTAAGTTGTGAAATATCTTTGCTTGTGAATTGTAATGTTTTACATGGGGAATTTTGGAGCTAATTCCTAAAAACTGTACCTGACTTTTCGTATGTAGTGTATGCATTCTATTTCCATTGGACATGCATTTGACTTTTAATTTTACTGCTTTTACAAGTTTGTAACTGTTACAATAAGCAAGGTTAAACCATAATTTGACCGATTAATTGAAGCTAGCTGAATACTGATGTAATAGATATTTTGGGGACTACAACAAGTCAACAAGAGGAACTGGAAAAATATGCATTGCAGGTATCGTTGAAGACACAGTAAGCTGACTTATGCACTTAGTGATAAAAAATGTTCACTTAGGAAATTTGAACATACTTGCATACAAAAGAGATGGGAAATATACTCTCACGCTTATAATGGATACATTCATATTTCTCTCTTTATAGTGTCGTAGTCACCAGAATAGTCTTGTCATACTTTCAAAAAAAAATTTCTGAAGTTATCTCCTTATCATTTGTACTTTGTGTGAGAAACACAATCACACGGGTATCTAAGATTTTTCCTTGGCACACCACATATGGTGGTTGGTTTGAAATTTATTATTTTCACCTCCATCTATATTTACATATTCCAACATTCCAATAATAATATTTAGTGTTCATGAACACATTTTCAGATATGTTACTTGTCAAGGTGTTCATGTCTTTATATTTTATCGCAGAAAGCACAGCGTAGCTATCAGAAGCATGTAGCGAAGTTTGAAGCAGCTAGAGAATCACAAGCACCAGATTTCCAAGGGGATGGTCAAGGTTGTAAGTAAAACTATTCATTCATCTTCACAGATGTTATAATGATGATTAATTTGCATGTTCTGAAGGAAGTTGTCTTATCTGGACTTGATTCTTTTGGAAAGGACTCATTGTGTTGACCCTGTTCGTCGTGCTATATTTTTGGAATTTAATTTAGTTCTTTATTAATTCTATATAACTTGAAAAGGCTATTTGTTTGGGCTGATCTTTTTGGTGTTTTGTGTTCATAGGGAACAAAGGGCTTGGGAGGAAAAGATACTCTATCTTTACCCAATGAAAAGCTTTCCTTGGATTTTAATCAATTGGATATGCGAACATCAACTTATAGTTTAATGTAGTTTTTGAGATATTTTACCATGCTATCTATCGAGCAATTGACCCACTTTGTATGGGTCATTTTGTTAATGGTTTATAACATCTCTTGCCTTGGTTATGGCTTAATCGAAACTGATTATTGCTGGCCGATTTTACAGAATGGGAATTCGACAGTGGTTCAGGCTATTATTACCATCAGACAAATGGTTTCTATTATGATTCAAAGTCAGGATTCTACTATTCTGATGCCATAGGTACGAGTTGCATACACTGCTGTTCCATATGTTCTTTATGTTTGGTTTTGTCATTTTTCCTGAAGCGATTCACGTGTGACAATACCGTAACTGTATTGATAATCGGGTATTTTACTTAGAGAAATTGCTGCAGGCAAGTGGGTGACTCAGGAAGAGGCGTATGCGTCACCTCACTTTTCTTCTAATGCTGGGCACAAGGGACCCACTGTTAAAAAACCAACGTCAGCTTCACAATCCAAATCAGTTGAAGATAAAGGCGCAAATAAGTCTCAAAGTGTACCTGCACCTGGACCTGTAGTGTCAACTTCTTTGAACCTGATGAGATCTACGAAAGCAGCACCTTCATCTCTTGCTGTGGGAAAGAGAAAGAGAGCACCAGATGCAAAATCCAAGGTTATGTCCGAAGAAGAAAAGGCAGCTCTCAAGGCAAGAGAGGCTGCAAGGAAGAGAGTTGAAGAGAGGGAAAAACCTCTGCTTGGGCTCTACAGCAAGCCTTACTAAGCAGGGAGAATACTCTGAGCCGCTTGGTTTTAATGGTTATAATTCTCACAGAACTTCAAGCGGACTTTTCTTATTACAAGTGAGAAATCACCAATGGCATATACAACATCTGATGAGGTAGAGCACTATGATTCATGGTTGAAGTTGTGGGCTCTTTCTACCCAGATTGTCTCATTTCTTCCTTTTAACTTGGGTTGTTGTCCATGAGGATACTCTGATTCCTTGTGCTTGTCCGGTGACTGCGCCCTGTATGCTGAAGTGTGACTTATGCTTCATTCTTTTGCAGTACATGTCAAATTTTCAGTTCTAGGGTGAGGAAAGACTTCTCACAAGGACTGGTAAAATAGATACAATCGTGATGCACATGCTTGGTTCAGGGCAAAGTAGTTGTTGCAAGGTAACTTTACTTTTAGAAGCCTACGAAGGGGTGTCTAGGTTAATTTTTTGAAAGTGATTCTAAAGTGTACTGGGTAAGTGTACAAGAGTAGTTTTTTTATATGAAAGTGTTTCTGAGATGCTAATTCAAACAAGCTCGAGCAATGCATATGTGAGCTTTGGTTAGGTCTCAGAAATTAAGCCACGATTAAAATGAATGTTCTCCACAAAAGCAATGACATGATATCTTAGTGACATTTTTTTAATAATCAAAACAGGAAGGCCATGGCATGAACTATAATGCCTTTCATGATTGTTCCTACGATCGACCATCTTAAAGCAGCAAGAGAATCGATTGTCATTGGAACAAAAATTACTAGCATTTACGTGAGCAAGGTAAGGTAATTAATTGGATCGTTACTAAATGAATTGTGCAAATTAGGGAGTGATAAAGAAGAAAAGAATAGTTTATTTTTCTCCAACAGAAAAAATAATTTATGTAGTATAAAATTTACAATATTTGTAAATGACAAAAACGACTTTTTTTTTTTTTTTTTTTTTGTATTTTGCGTAATATAAGGAGGTCACACTTCCTAGTATAAAGGGAAGTTACCTGTACTAATGCTTGTTTGAAACTGCTCAATATAAGTACTTATAAGCATGTTCGCATAAGTCTTATATTCCGTGAATACTATTTAAAAGCCATTTTTGAAGGGGTTATTCTACATGGATGGCACGTGATTTTAAAGCTAAAATGATCATGGACTTAAGTTAAACTTCATTATGGACTTTTGGTTTGGAATGGCTTATAGAGTTTTGTTTCGACTTACATGAAACGTGTTTGTTAAACTTAAATGTTTATAGATATTTCAACAGTCAGCACGTGATTTTAAAACGGGATCAGAAGCAAACTAAGGGCAACGCCTTCAATTACCAAACTCAATTAGGATAATAATATTTGAATGGAAAATGTGATAAATGAAAGGAAAAATGAGATTGAGGTCTTACAAAAGACAAAATACAGCAAAAAGATACTTTCAAACTTAATAATTGCATAGGAGTTCAAAGGAACTTGATTGGGTTAATGAAAAAAATGATTAGACACTATTGCCCGTCCAAATAAAGAGCCAAAAAACATAGGCATAATTGATTTCCTTTATCTTCTTCATAGAGCTCCTATATGAGAGAGAAAAACTTGACAACAAAAGAAGCAAAGTGGGACCATCTTCCTCATCACCATTATTGAAGTCAAAACACCTTCTGCTTCATTGTCTTGGTTGATTTTGAGGTTCGAGACTTTCTTTCCTCTCTTCTCCTAAAATATTTTGGTTTTCGGATTGGGTTTATGTGGGGGGTATATAGAAAATCATTTCTCCCTTTAGGCTGTTGCAAAGCTTCCCCCCCCTTTATGATCTATTATGACAAAACTTGTGTTTTTTGTTTGGTATGTGTTGGTGACTAAACTTGGGGTTTCATTGTGGGTGGATAGACTGATGATGGATGATTTGTTATTAGGTATATTGTGGATGGATTGGTTGTAGATTTGCTCTGTTTGGTCATGATTTAGTGAGATAGATTAAAAAGATGAAGTTGGCATGGGTAAGAACCCTAACTGTGAAATGGGAGAATGTATTATAAGTGTAAGCCATGATAGTTGACATTATAGCTACTTGACTTGTTAGTGACATTAAAGATAGCGAGTATGTCCAGAAAGAATCCATTTTGTATTTTCATATAAGGGGAAGTTTGTAAATGATGGAGAAGATGATATGCGATATGTTAGAACTTAGAAGTAGCATGAGAACAAGAAGTATAAAGAAAGACACAGGTTATGAAGAGTTGAAGACAATGACATCATTTTTTTTTTTGGAGACATTAGAAATTAGCATAGGTAATCTGATATCCATATATTGTTACAAAGTATCTAATACAAAAAAAGAATGAAAATTCAGTTTTTTATTTCGTATAATTTTTAACAAGTTGATGGAGGTTCCCAAAGTTCAAGCACACTTACTTGAAATTAAAGTTTTGTAAAACTTAAATTAGTAGATATATTGAGAAGTGACAGTGCCAATATTGACAAGTAAAGAAAGGTGTATTGACAAGGGAGAGTGCAAATAATGACAATTAAATAAATATCAGAATGTAACATTTTGGATTATATTATTCTTAGTTGTCATTGCATGGTATTATTATTGCCATTTGATTTTGTCTTACTCTGTCTTCCTTGTTTATGTAAATTTTTTTTTGCAAAATAATTGTTTAACCATAGCTTGTTGCATGCTATTAAGCCAGAATTGTTTGAGAATGAGGGTAAAATTGATAACAAAGTAAAATGGGCCAAATTTTATGTCTAGTATGATAACTTAAGTTTATTTGTTGGATTGAATTAATTTAGTTATTATGGTTTACAATAAGGTTCACATGATCATTATATGTAAAATTCTGTTTATAGTGATTCATGTGGCATTCATGTTCTCTCGTGGCTATAAGAGTGGGATGACACTTTTTGTGATGGTGTAGGATATGCCATGGTACTCGAAGAATAAACTATAGGAGCTTAAAGTTGGATGCCTATGGTGGCTACTTATAGAAATAAGCAAACATAGGGATATAGTACTATTAATGCCATTGGATTTCAACCAAAGCAAGAAAAGGAGATAAAGCTACTGACAATCATGGGTGTTAGAAATGACTAGTAATAACCCTCTAGTTGACAATTCATTTTCTAGTAGGAACTAATCTAATTATGTTGAATTGTATATAATATGATTACTTACTTTCTTATTCATATTTTAGTGTTTCTATTTGTCACATGTAGTAGAATTCAGTCCAATTATGTTGAATTCCATTTATTTACTTACATATTAAACAATATATATATCATAATGGACAGTGCAATTACTAACAAGTCGAGGTGTATATATTAATAATTAATACAAGAAATATTAACAACTAAAGGTATTCTTAATTTCACATTTGCAATTGAATTATATATATGTTAAAATATAACTATCATAGCACATTATAACTCATTATAACAAGAATGCATTACTGAAAGTTATATTAATTGAATGCTATTAAAAGGGATAATTCCAACTATTGACAAGTTATAATGTCACTACTGACCAGTGACAGTGAAGCTATTGACAAATCTAACTACAACTAGTAACAATTCAAGATGTAGTGAATAACAAGTAATTGTATAATTTCATATCAGTGATGATAAGTATGTTATAAGTGATTTTATATGACATTATAATCAACCTTATATCATATGACATTGTAACCAACCTTTATCATTAGATAAATTGACAAGTGATAGTGTAATGATTGACAAGTGGGGAAGCATATAATGACAATGCAAGATATAGATAATTACAACTGATTGCACATTAAAATTGAATATACCATTTTATAGCCAATTTTTATTAATAGCTTCACATACATGTGATTTCACCAATTTCACAACCCATTCCAAGAAAAAAAAAACATGGGTTACATGTATCCAATATCAAACTAAATATTGGTGCATATTGTCATATATACAAAAATTTTCTTCACACCATTTACAAAGAAAAAAAGGCTTTCATAACATGTTCTCAACTAGGATTTGAGTTGCTACATGTCTTAGCACTAGGTCCAATCTCATTGCATCTTCCATAGTACATGGAATTGACAATGTCTCTCCAATCTCATTAAACGAAATAAGTAGAGACATAGACAGTCCATTTAAACCTCCAGAAAAATTGATCAATCCCACAGTAAATGACAAATTAGGATGAATATAATAACAACTTAGTAGCATGCCAGTAACAACTTCTATAGCAAAAAATGACAATAAAAAACATTTGTCCAAACTAAACCTATGCATCTTGCTTTTTCTTTACATCATCCCTTATTGCTTCTGTATAGTCATTACTTCCATTATCTTCTACGTACACATAATCACTTTTTTCGTTAATCTTTATTAAATGCTCTACCCCTTCATCATCTACCAACTCCATAAATATACTTTTATAAAAATATAGCTAAAAATTTCAAAACAAATAAATTACTTTCTTTTTCAAGAAGTCTTCATAACATGTGCCTTTCTTTATTTTTTTGTTCTTACACTACCCCTAACATACCACATATCATCTTCTCCATCATTTAGAAACTTAACCGCTATATTAAAAAAAAAAAAAGATGCTTTCTAGCTGTACTCGTCATCTTTAATGTAAACCTGCATCATCATTAACAAGTGAAGCAGTAATATTGACAACTATCGCAATTTATATTGACAATTATCGTCGCATATATTGATAACACAATATCTCATTTCGCAGTAAGAGTTTCTACTCATACCAACTTTCATCCTTTTCATCTATTCTCACTGAATCATGCTCAAACAAAGCAAACCCACAATCAACTCACCCACAATATACCCAAAAATAGAGCATCGATTATTATCTTACCTACCTATAGTGAAACCCTAACTTTAATCATCAACACACACTAAATCTAAAAACACAAGTTTGGCATTACTAAATTCATTCATATTAGACCAAAAATAAAAGTTTTATAATAGCTAAAGGGTTGAATAATTTTCAGCATAGTCATATCCAAACCTAATCTGTAAACCAAAATGTTCTAAAAGAGGAAAGGAAAGAAACTTTTGAACCTCAAAATCGACGAGATGATGAAGACAGAAGGTAAAGGGTAAAATGATACCTGAACCTAATCTATCAACCAAAATGTTCTAAAAGAGGAGAAGAAAGAAATTTTTGAACCTTGAAATCGATTGAGACAATTAAAATGGAAGGTGCATGGACTTCACTAATGGTGATGGGGAAGATGCTCCATGAATGGCTGCTTGCTCCTTTCTCATATGCAAGAGTTTCAAGATGCATGAAATGAGTTCTTTCTTTCCTTTTTCTATTGTTTTTTTTGGGGCCTACATTGCCAAGGGCAAAGAAGTTTGTTTGCATTTAATTAAATTGCAATGAGGTCTTTTTGGGACTTGTGATTAATTAGAAGATTTCTAGGGACTTTTTTTGCCATATTTTCTCTTCTATAAGACTTCAATACAACTTTTTTCGAAATGAATAAACTTCTTGTCCATTCTGACATGTAACTCTATTGTTTTTCTTTTAATGTTGAGTCAAAAGAAAAAATATATCATGTAAAAACTTTAGGAAAATAGTAAAAGAAGATGGGCGTATGAATCAACAGACTTTCTATTATATTTTATCCCTCCCTATTTCAAGAAAAATTCATTCACCCTCAAAAAATTTATTTTTTAATATCTCCTTT